AGAAAAGGGAAGAACATGGATTTTTTTCCTAGAGCCTCCAGGACTGAATGTGGACCGGTGAACACCTTGATTTCAGTTCAGCGAGACCCGATTTAGACTCCTGACCTCCAATCCCTAAAAGAATAAATGTGTGCTGTTTTAAGGCACTGCATTTGGGGTCCTTTGCTGCAGCAGTGGCAGCACACTCCTGGGTGTTCTCACCGTTTCTGATGGTGAAGCTGTGGAGGAGGGCAAGGCCGTCAAACCAATGGTTGTATCTGGACTCCCCCACCGTGTGCATCCCAGGCCCGTTGCGGAGCAGGGTTCCCTGCAGCCATGCTGGAATCTTGCCTGTGAAAAGAGAGAATGTTTAGTTTCCTATTTCCACCTGCAAACCAAAATGCTGGAAGAAATGTTCAAGGAAAGGAATTGGAGACTTGTAGTCCCAGTACCACTCCTTGCATCTGTTCATTTACTCTACAATCGTTTCCAGAAAATGTATAATATGTCGGGCAGATGGAGACACTGTCCCTGTCCTCAAATTGCCCACTGACCATTAAGGAGACAGATGAATAAACAGACACCCAAGATCCACTGTGGTCAAGGCAATGCTGGTTGTGCGTTGGCTCACACCTGTAATCCCTGCACCTTGGGAGGCTGAGATAGGAGTATCACTTGAAGCCAGGAGCTCAAGACTAGCCTAGGCAACAAAGTGAGACACTGTCTCTGCAAAAAATAAAAAATATAGCTCAGAGTTGGATGCGGTGGCTCACGCCTGTAATCCCAGCTCTTTGTGAGGCCTAGGTGGGTGGATCACCTGAGGTCAGGAGTTCAAGACCAGCCTGGCCAACATGATGAAATCCCACCTATACTAAAAATACAAAAAATTAGCTAGTGGTCATGGTGGGTGCCTGTAATCCCAGCTACTCAGGAGGCTGAAGCAGGAGAATCACTTGAACCCGGGAGGCAGAGGTTGCAGCGAGATTGCGCTACTGCACTCCAACCTGGGCAACAAGAGTGAAACCTGTCTCTTATACACATCTAGATGTGTATAAGAGACAGCTCGTGATCCGCCCATCTCGACCTCCCAAAGTGCTGGGATTACAGGTGTGAGCCACCACGCCTGGCCAGCAATTTTTAAAATATTGATTTCATGTTGAACTGATAATATCTTGGATTTGTTGTGTTAAATAAAATATACCATTGAAATAATTTCAACTGTTTCTTTTGACTTTTTCCAATGTTTCTACTAGAAAATTTTAAAGTGCGGGTGTGGCATGGGTTCTCCTTCCAGGGTACAGCCCTGCTCTAGAGACAGGGTGCTGCAGCTGAAGCTGTTGGTGCCTCCACCCAAGTCTCCTCAGAGTTCATCTCTTCCTGCAGGCGGCTTTCTGCCAATGCCTGCAGCTCCCTGCCCGAGTACTTGGTTCTGACTGCGGGTGGGGCAGGCTGTGCCTACAGGCAGGAACAGTGGGAAGCACCTCGGAGAAGTAATGCCCCTGGAAGCTGCTCTCACCCAGTGATGGATGCAGAATTCGGGGACAAATCCCACCGTTGCCTTGCCCTCAGTTGGGAACACAAGAGGCGTGTTTTACACCATGCCCAGGGGATTTAGCTCCAATGGCCTCAGCAGCCAATGGCTCAACAATGCCCCATTTATTGGTTTCCTTCTCTCTTTTTCCCTGAGTTCCTCCTGATGTTTCTTGGGATCACGTGCCAAATAAACCACTTAGCCTTGAATTCTTGCCTCTGGAGGAACCCCGAACAAGAAGATGAAAACCAGGAGGCCGGACACTCTGAGGCATGCCTGTAATCCCAGTGCTTTGGGAGGTGAGGCTGAGGTCAGGAACCCCGCCTACACCAAAAATACAAAAATTAGCCAGGTGTGATGACAGGTGCCTGTAATCCCAACCACTCTGGAGGCCGAGGCAGGAGAATCGCTTAAACGCGTAAGTGGAAGGTCGCAGTGAGCTGAGATCACGCCACTGCACTCCAGCCTGGGTGACAGAGCAAGCCTCCCTCTCATAAATAAACAAATGAATGAACGAATGAATGATCAAGACCAGGAGACGGGCAAGCTGTTTAGTAAGACTGGACCATCATTTTCAAGCAAGAAAATTGTGAGCAATGAAACTGCAGAAATAACAGGGGCCAGGGGACGAAGGTCAACAGGATCACACTAAGGGTCCTGATCTAATCCTCAGAAGAATGGGGCATATTTGATGGTTATAATAGGGAAGGACAGGACCAGATTTTTTCTGCAATTAAAAAAAAAAAATTGAGATAAAACTCATCATTTTAAAGTGTACAGCTCAGGGGGTTCTAGTGAATTCACAATGTTGTGCAACCATCACCTAATTCCAGAACATTCCATCACTCCAAAAAGCCATCCCCCTTATGCATTAGCCATACCTCTTCTCCCCTTACACCCAGCCCCTGGCAGGCACCCATCTATTTTCCTATGGATTTGTCTGTTCTGGATTCCATATAGATCAGCGGTCCCCAAACTTTTTGGCACCAGGGACTGGTTTTGTGGAAGGTAATTTTTCCATGGACAGTGGGGTTGGGGGGGTCAATTCTCATAAGGAGCACACAACCTAGATCCCTCACATGCGTGTTCACAACGGGGTTCACGCTCACGGTAGGGTTTGCACTCCTATGAGCATCTAATGCCACCGATCTGAGAGGAGGCAGAACTCAGGCGGTAATGCTGTGCGGCCCAGTTCCTAACAGGCTACAGACTGATACTGGTCCACGGCTCGAGGGTCGGGGACCCCTGATATAAATGGAATAGGATCTTGGAACTTCGAAGGTTCTCTCTGTCCATGGTGTGGACTGGGAAATCCTCTGAGAAAGGCAGGAAGACCAGAGAGAGGACCCGGGGATTCCACAGGGATGGAGAGAAATGGATGAACAAAGATACATGGAAGACACAGAACTGATGGGCCTCTATTTGATTAAATATGGGGGGATGTGGAGTGGAACACTGAAAAATGACAGCTGAGGCCAGCGCGGTGGCTCACGCCTGTAATCCCAGCATGAGGAGAGGCCAAGGCGGGTGTATCACTTGAGGTCAGGAGTTTGAGACTAGCCTGGCCAACATGGCGAAACCCCGTCTCTACTAAAAATACGAAAATTAGCTGGGCGTGGTGGCGTGCACCTGTAATCCCAACTACTTGGGAGGCTGAGGCAGAAGAATCGCTTGAACCCAAGAGGTGGAGATTGCAGTGAGCCGAGGTTGCGCCATTGCACTCCAGCCTGGGTGACAAGAGTGAAACTCCGTCTCAAAAAAAAAAAAAAGACAGTCAAGTCTCTTGCCTTGGGCACCTACACAATCCTGGCGCCAGACACAGGCACCCAGGGCACAGGAGAGGGGGCAGGCCTGAGACAGAGCAGGGAGAGAGGCATCTGAGAATATAATTAAAACTCTAGATAGGACAAGAAAATTTATGCACATTCACACACCAGCCACTGTGTTCTAGGCGGATTAAACCACTTAATCATTGCAGCAACCCTGTGTGGGAGGTGCCAGGCTACATTCATCAGACAGAAAAGAACACTGAGGCAGGAAATGCTTAAGTTGCCAAAGAGGTCTCAGAACACGCGCGTGCTGGCACAGCCAGTTACAAAGCCAGAACCTTCGCATGTGTTCCCTGCATGATGTGTCAACCCAGGCACAGGTTTTAGCTAGCTGCCTGGCCATGGATGTTACCAACTGATTAGGCTCAACCCAGGCCTGGACGGAGGGTGAGGAGGTCCGTTCTCTGCAGGCTGTCTGGCCTTGGCAAGTCACTGCTCTTCTGCCTCAGTTTCCCATCTGTCAATAGGGAGGCTTGATGTAGAGGAATGGTTCTCCCCCTTGGAATCACCAGAGGGCTTGTGAACACACAGCTTGCTGAGCTCCACCCCCAGAGTGTCTGATGCCATGGGTCTGGGTGGGGCCCAAGGATGTTTATTTCTACCCAGTACCCAGGTGGTGCTTACGCTGCAGGTCTGGGGACACACCTTTGAGAACCGCTGCCGATCTCTGGGGTTCATTCAGCCTCTCATGTTCTAGAATTCGTGTTTTCTAACATTTACAATGATTTCATGCAGTCATTAAACATGAGGTGTAAAGGGTACAAAATATTCATAACATTCCAGGGCAGGGAAAGGTAGGTATCATAGGTGCCTTTTTTTTTTTTTTTTTTTTTGAGACAGAGTCTCACTCTCTCACCCAGGCTAGAGTGCAGTGGCGTGATCTTGGCTCACTGCAAACTCTGCCTCCTGGGTTCAAGCGATTCTTATGCCCAGTCTCCTGAGGAGCTGGGTTTATACATATGCACCACCACGCCTGGCTAATTTTTGTGCTTTTATTTAAAACAAAATTTCACATAAAATACATTGAAAGTAATGGCAAAAACCATGATTATTTTTGCATCAACCAAATAGTAGAGACAGGGTTTCACCAGCTGGGGTGCCTGTTATTTACTTATTTATTTATTTTTATTTATTTTTTTTTTGAGACAGGGTCTCACTCTGTTGCCAAGACCCTAGTGCTGTGGCACTATCTCAGCTCACTGCAACTTCTGCCTCTGGGGTTCAAGCAATTCTCCTGCCTCAGCCTCCTGAGTAGCTGGGACTACAGGTGCGTGCCACTATGCCTGGCTAATTTGTGTATTTTTAGTAGAGAGGGGTTTCGCCATATTAGCCAGGCTGGTCTCAAACTCCTGGTTTCAAGTGATCCACCCTCCTTGGCCTCCCAAAGTACTGGGACTACAGGCATGAGCCACTGCGCCTGGCCTTGGGTGTCCTTTTAAAAAATAAAAAATGCACAGATGAACAGTCAGATTGAGAAAAATAAATTTAACGGTATATATTTGCTTTTCCAAAAACTATTTACAAATATAGTAAAGTTATCTATTGATTCATCTACCTATGTTTTAAAAAGTTAAAGGAAATATACCCAAATATTAAGTGTTTAAGAGATTTGGAAATACAGCTGATTTTATTTCCTTCCATGTTTTCAATTGCACTCCTAATTAATTTATATATAATATACATACAGCTATATATGTATATACAGATTGATAGCTATAGATTGTGCCTTACCTTTGTAACCAGGAAAAAATATACATAAAAGCTATTTTTTTTTCTTTCAAAAGACTCCCAAGGCAATTGCTCAGTTGAAAAGCTTCAATCTGATGTTCTCACAAAAATCACTCACAGTTGTCCTCTCCTTATGAACAACTGAAGTCCATCTAGCAGATGAAAATGTCTGCGGGCCTGAGCTGACTCAGCTGTTCTTAAAACTGAGCGAGTACCACTCTGGGGACCCAGGAGTCCAGAACCAGGAACTGCCCTTTAGAGACCAAACAAGATGGTTCGAGGAAAGTGGCAACCCAAAAGAGGAGGAAAAAGCAAGAGATATAAAAGATGAAGTGAGCCACAGGGCCTCTAAAGGATAGAAAGTCCTACTCCTATAGGCTCTACAGGTGCTGACACCTGTGAGTTCTGACAGACAATCACATCAGACTGCAATCCCCTGCAAGTGCGCGTGGTGGATGTGCACGCGTGGGAGCTCATGCACGCCCCCTAAGCATTTTGAAACTAATTTAGAATGCATACATTTGCACAAATACATCATGCATCTGAGACAGGCAGCAGTTTGCAGATTAATCCCATTGTATGCATACCCACTGGGGCATTCCGACACTTTTTTCCTGGGAACAGTGAGACTGACTCTCCTCCCTTTGGAAACGGAGTTGTAATGTGTAAAAGCACACCATTTTCACAGAAAATGTGTCCCCTCTCTGTACTGTTCTCTGGACTTTCCAAAAGTAATTTACAATTAGTATTACTTACATAATCAGGAAAAACAGTGTCCATCTAAACATAAGGAAGAAGCCAGGTGCAGTGGCTTACCCCTGTAATCCTAGCACTTTTGGAGGCGGAGGGAGGCGGATCACTTGAGGCTAGGAGCCAACATGCTGAAACCCCGTCGCTACTAAAAATACACAGATTAGCCGGGCTTGGTGGTGGGCACTTGTGATCTCAGCTACTCGGGAGGCTGAGGTGGGAGGATGGTTTGAACCCAGGAGGCAGAGGTTGCAGTGCACCGAGACCACCCCACTGGACTCCAGCCTGGGCGACAGAGCAAGACTCCGCCTCAAAAAAAATAATAAACAAAATAAAATAAACAGAAGAAAGAGCCCAGTGTTGATCAGAATGCTCACCTGTCACTTTGGCCCTCACAGGCTCCAGCTGTTCTTTCCTATTCCTGCCAAATATTATATCCATCGTTCAGGGTGCCGAGGGAGACTGATTTTAACAGCAAACAGATGATCCTCTGTGTTCAAAGGAGCTGCTGCTCCCTCCTCCTGCGTTTCCTTCCTGCTCTCCTGCTCCTTCCCTCCTTCACATCTCTGTCTCTCCTGATGCCGTTTCTGCCTTTGCTTTTTCCTTTTTGGCTGGCTGTGACTTCTCCCTCTCCGAGAGCCCAGGATCTCTTTACATTCACAGGAGAAGCTGCGCTGGCGTTATTTATAAGATGTTTGGTTAAAGGTTAATTTCCAAGGCATGTGTCATAGCTAATCTTTAATCCTCTTATTGTACCCTCAGCTTTCCCTCTCCAGTTTCACTTTTGGCTTAACCAAAAAAAATCTTGCTTTGGGCTAGGTTCTAAAAAGCAGAGAGAATTCAGTGCCTCCTGTTATGTTGCCCGACGTAATCCAAGAGCTGGAGATGTTTATGATCAGAACAAGAAGAGAGGCAGTTGGGGCCATCAGAGATGCTGGGCATTAGGAGAGCCGTGAGGTGAGCTCTGTGATCATGCGAATGTCTGGTGTACAGCAGGGAACCCCTTCAGCAGAGACGGGTAAGGTTTTATGTTTTGTTTTGTTTTTAGTAAAGACCCTGATGCTCCCCTCTAATAATCATAAGGAGAGACTTAATTCATTATTTTCTTTTTGGAAGAAGGAGACATAAAATGTTTCATGTACCCATTTAAAAAATAATGAACGGAAACCAAGACTTTTCTCAGAAACTATAAAGAATAGTAAAAAAGATGGGCCAGGAGCGATGGCTCATGCCTGTAATCCCAGCACTTTGGGAGGCCATGGTGGGTGGATCACTTGAGGTCAGGAGTTCGAGACCAGCCTGGCCAACATGGCGAAATCCTGTCTCTACTAAAAATACAAAAATTATCCTGGCATGGTGGTGGACGCCTGCAATCCCAGATGTTCAGGAGGCTGAGGCAGGAGAATCTCTTGAACCCATGAGGCAGACATTGCAGTAGGCTGAGATGGCACCACTGCACTCCAGCCGGGCCACGCAGTGAGACTCTGTCTCAAAAAATAAATAAGTAAACAGAATAGTAAAAAAGAAACTTCATTTCAACTTCCTGGTCTATCAAGAGGGCAAAACGACGCCTGAATTTGATCTGAGCTTCCCTATTATTCGTGTATCTTGGTGTGTTGCCATTGCCTGAAATTCATATTCAGCTTGCTATATGCACTGATTGAAGTTAATGAACTCATCTTAACGTATTTTGCTTAAAGAAATAACCAGTCATTTGCTCTGTGGGTAGAATAAGAAAAGGCAGTGGCATTGGCCTTTATGCAATCCAGCTGAGAATAATGATGTCTGGTCTGGGCTGAGACCACATGCCAGCACCTTGGGCCATTCATTCCGGACAGCTGTGTGTTCTGGCTGTGCTTCTGCCCTGGCACACATTGGAATCACCTGGTTGGCAGCACTAACTGTACCGGTGCTGGGCCTTACTCCAGACCCACTGACGCACAATCTCTGAAGGTAGATCTCAGCCATCAGTTTTTTTTATATTGGCTGGGCATAGTGACTCACACCTGTAATCCTAGCACTTTCAGAGGCCAAGGCGGGAGGATCACTTGAGCCCAGGAATTTAAGACCAGCCTAGGCAACATAATGAGGCTCTGTCTCTACCAAAAAAAAAAAAAAAATTAGCTGGGCATGGTGGTGCACGCCTGTAGTCCCAACTACTTGGGAGTCTGAGGTGGAAGGATCACTTGAATCTGGGAGAT